ATTATTTAAACTTTATTCACTTTTTTACCTTTTTATTTCTGATTTGGTTTTGTCAGACATTATCCCCACATCAAATGTCTATTTATTTTTTCACTTTAGCCAGTAATTCTGTGTGAGTCACTCATACTTCGGTTAGTTAAAAATAAAATAAAAGATTGTAAGAATGTCTAATCGAAGACAGTTTATTTTGACGGTGTAGATCTTGGGTGGGGTCGTGGGGTGGGGTGGGGTGGATGTATAAGTGTCTCTTGCAGCATTTTTTCCGTGCCATAAAACCCTTTTAACGTTAACGGAATGAGGACTTCCGAGGCCCATTGAAGGCATCATGAGTCCTCGTACCGCCCACTGTGACACACCCCCCTCCGCTGCTTCCGCTCAACAGATCTCCCTCAAAACAACAACTTTAAACAAAAGGTTTAAATTAAACAAAACTGTTTATAACACGTCGTGTTTGTCTTTATCACCACGTTATCAGTCATTTACATAAAAAAACGAAATATATAAGTAACTTAAAAAATATATATAATTGAAAAATTAACTAAGTACTAAGTAACAACTCATCATATTGTTTTATCATTATGTGAATAATTTTTTTTAATTTTTAATTTTTTTCTCGTTTTTGTAACGTGTGTAAAGAGACAAAGGAACCTCCTTCACTGTGACATAAATAATAGATGAGCTCCGTGCAGACACTCTGAGGTTTGTGAGGACTTCATCGCTCTGCCGTCACACAGTGGACGGCTCCCAGTCTCCTATGAATGAATGAAGCTTCATTCTGTTTTTTTTTATCCTATCTGCAGCTGCACTCCTCAGTGATCAGCATCACTAAGGAAGCTTCTCTCAAAGAGCTGTTTTCACTCAGCCTGGAACTTTGCCAGACTGCACTCAGGTTGACAAGAGCATTTCACTTTGGGACAGGAGAGGAGAAGGAAATGGGTTTTAAATGCTGAAAAAAAACTGTTCAACTGTTCAGTCATCAGTTTTGCTTTTAGTCTGATAAGTATTTTTGTCGTCGTTGACGAGCAGCCATGATTTATTCTGGATCCTGTGAAAGTCAGTGAGTCATGAACGTCAGCCTGTCCAGGATTTCACTGTTCCTGTGAAATTAGTTAGGTCTTAGAGCGGTGCTTCAGAGGTTCTGGATCTTAGGTTGTTGTTGTTGTTGTTGTTGTCGTCTCTGCTTCCTGGACCACATGCCAGGTTAAATGTCTCCTCTTTTACTTTAAGGCAACCTGCTGCAGGACCCCATAGCCCCGACCGACTCTTCGTGTCAGCACTACGTCTGTCGTGGCTGTAAGGGTCAGAGGATGCAGCTGAAGCCCTCCTGCAGCTGGTGTAAGGACTACTCCCGCTTCGAGGAGAACAGGCAGCTGTCTCTGCTGGTGCACTGTTACAGGAAGCTCTGTCTCTACATCACACAGTCTCCGCTCGCATCGCACATAGCCAGCGCCGCCGGCGACTCGCCAGACCTCCAGGCCATCCTCAATGAGGGCGTCGTGTTGGCGGAGAGCGAGCTGAAGGCCGAGGATGTTGCTGAATCTTCAGAAACTCCCCCTACAGGTCAGGTACTGGAGGTAAAGGGGGAGGAGCTAAGCCCCGTGAGCCTTAATGGAATACATGATTGTAACGGCCTGACCAGTTCACACGCTCTGTCCACCATCACCGTTGAGTCAGATGCAGGTCAGGCAAAACAGGGGGCAGTTTCTCTGGGGAAGATCCCGGTGTGTGTGAGTGTCACGGGAGGTGGGGAGTCAGGACTGTGTGACATCAGCACTGTTGGTGATGACCTCAAACACGGAGGTGGTCCGATGCTGTTGAGTGTGGAGGAGGTGCTCAGGACTCTTGACACAGACGCTAAGCCTGATCCCACACTTGAACCGGACCCCCAACCAGACTGTCCCTCGTCCGTACCACAGTCCGTACCACAGTCCGTACACAACGGACCTCACTGTGCGTCTGGTCCGGACTCCTCCCGCCTCATGCCGTCCCTCCCACCAGAGAGCTGTGGTGTCTCGCCACCCTCCGTGCAGCTTCCTTTACAGCCCTCCACGGTCGCCCCGTCTTTGCCACACCGGTGCCACCGCAAACGTTCGCACTCGGAGAGTGACCGCGAGAAAGTGCAGCCTCTCCCCATCTCCAGTTTCCTGCGAGGACCTCCCGTTTGCACCAACAGCTCCACCCACCACCCCATCACTGGCGTAACCACCGTCAAACAGGAACCTAAATTTGTCACAACCTCACCCCTCCATCATCTTGCCCCCGTGCCGAACGGCGGCCCTCCCAAAGTGGGAAAGGCTGTTCTCGTCTCCAACAAAGTGGGAAAGGCTGTTCTCGTCTCCAACAAAGTGCTAAAAAAGACAGTGGAGCATCATGGTGTTGCCAAAAAGGCATACACCAAGGCCAGACAGGGGGCGCCAAAACCCCGTGCACAGCCCCGTGTGCCCCCTCACCCACACCCACTAACTCACCCGCCCAGCCCTTCCAAACCTCTGTACAAGAAACCAGTGGAGAAGAAGGGCTGTAAATGTGGCCGAGCCACACAGAACCCATCAGTGTTGACCTGCAGGGGGCAGCGCTGTCCCTGCTATTCCAATCGCAAGGTAAGAAAAGTAGTAGTATTAATGTAAACACAAAAACAAAACAAAAAAATGGAATTGTTAATTGTTGTTATCAAAGAGCGGCCTCAGGGTTTGTTCAGTTCAACTGTAAAATGAAATGGAAACAGAAGGTGTCGTTGATGGAAGGATGAGGAGCAGAACGGTGGTCGTTGACATGTTGCTTTGTGGTTTGCTGCTGTAGGCGTGTCTGGACTGTATCTGCCGCGGCTGTCAGAACTCCTACATGGCCAACGGGGAGAAGAAGCTGGAAGCCTTCGCTGTTCCAGAGAAAGCTCTGGAACAAACCCGACTCACGCTGGGAATCAACCTCACCAGCATCGCCGCCGCCGCCCTGCGCGGCCCAGCCACCAGCTCTCCCGCCGGCACACTCCTCAACGTCACCACCGCTACGGGGTCGCCTGTCACTGCCGCCTTTCTGTCGGGGGCGGGGCACGACAACAGGGGCTTCGATGATTCGCTGGAGATGAGGTTCGACTGCTGAAGCTCCGCCCACTCACACTCAACCCATCTGTGTCGACTGGTTGGACATTCCCCCCTCTACTGGCTGTCATCAACGTGACAGCGTCTCAGGGCGGAGCTTGAACGAGGCAGCTAGAGTGACAGGCGGTTACAGAAGCAGGGATGGTTAGGCCCCCCTGTGGCTGTCAACGAGAACTGCAGTGGTACAGCTGTGTGCGTGTGAAGGAGAGGTTATCGTGAAGGTTATTAGTGCAGATACAAACATATGACCACCAGGGGACAGTGTAATTCATAGGAAAAGAACTTTGTCTACATGGATTCAGCGGTGTCTTTTCAAAGAGACATTTTTTGTCCTGTTTTTTTAAGTTGCCGGTGCAGAGTTGATGAGTGTGAACCAGAATATTTTTAAACACAAGCAGACGCTGACGCTTTGATAACATTTATAGATTTAACAAACAAAACAAACCAATCAGATGAGAGGCAGTGGTGGAAGAGTGGCTGGTTCTAACATGAACTGGGCTCAGTAAGAAAAACGCCCCCTGCTGGACTAAATTACCCTTAGACAGCAACAGGTGGGATTAAATCCAAACTCCACCAACAATGACGTGAGGTGAGGTCATATCTGGGAACATTTATTAAAAAACAAATATGAGTATTTAAAAATATTTATTAAAATTAACATTTGTTTGTGAGTGAAAATGACATTTTTCCTCTTCTTGCCATTGAATAACTTTAGGTTTTTGTGGCCTGTGTTCAAATCTCTGGTTCACTGCTCGGTCTGCTCTCTGCGGTTCTTTATGTTGTTTCAGAAATCCTACACACACACACACACACACACACACACACACACGCTGCTATTCACTACATAGGACTGAAGAAACTCGTTTTTCTGTTTTTCCTCTTCTGTCAAAGAATACTATGTTTGCAGTATTTATTGTTGGTCCTCTGACACAGGTCACGTGTTATAGCTTCAGTGTTTTGTTTGTGTCTGTCCCTCACCACTGCTGTCCTTCCTCTTTGGACTCTTTTGTCTCCTCTTCAGTTTGTCTCTTCTACTTCTTCTCCTTCAAGGCATTTAAATAAACCTGTAACATAATTGTACAATATTTCCACAAAAAGAAAGAAAATGAAAAAAACAAAAACAAAACAAAAAACAGTACTGCAGTCTTGGTGTGTTCATTTCACCTGTTACGTTTTTCCCCTTGTTTCTCCTGCAGTGTTCTGATTGAGACACCAGAGGGCAGCGATGACAACAGGATAAGATACTGCAGGGCCTCTTTGTACACCAACGGGGCAGAATATGTACTTTGTGTGTATATCTATATATATGTATGTGTATACATATATGTACACATGTATGTATGTATATATATATATATATATATATATATACTGTATGTATATATATTTATATTGTTATTACTGAGAGGGACACAGTAACCCCCCCGCACCCCCCCATCACTGTATTCTGCAGCTGATCTGATGTTTCTAAAATGGATGAAACCCTCTGACTCCATGGCCTTCAGTGTTTCACAGGTCCAGGACCAGACGTTTTAAGGTGCGGAGTCTAAATGAGCTGAGGTGGAACCTGACGCTGCTTTCATGAGTGGCTCCTCTGAGGAGCAGGTGTCTGATGGACTTAAAGGTAAATTACAGACGCTGCATTTGAATCTCTGACTTTGTTTAGACTCTTGTCGCTGCAGGTCAGAGTTTAAAACCTCGCTGGGTTTTAAATGTTTAATTTCACATATTCACACAGAAACTCGTTCGTATTTACATTCACATTTATTTTTCAAAATCTGCGCAGTAAAAAAATAAATTCCTTTTCTTTCTTGTCTTTCATCTGGATCATGTTTTTTTACTTTTCTTTCCTTCAGCTGGAGCCAAACACTGACCAATCACAGCTGCAGAGACACCACTGGACTCCAGGTACTCCACTCTCCACAACACACTGTTCTGTAGAACAATCATTCAACAACAACAACACACGCCCACCTTCAGAGGGAAGACGAGACCCAGCTGGTCCGTCACAGAGTTCAACTGTGTTCGTTTGTGACCTCACTGTTAGAAATACTTTGTTCAGATTTACATCAGTGACACAAACTGACCACAGGAGGCAGTAGTGGACCAGCAGTTTCTCATGTCTCTGAGCTAAAATCAGTGATTTTCTTTATGGACTTCAGTATAAACTTTAGTTTCCTGTTGAAAGTGAACGTTTCCTTAATTGGCCAATGTAACGACCAAATTGCTAATAAAAGTGTGTGTGGTTTAAATCTATTTTTGTGTGAATTGTCTGAGCATGAGGATGGAGGATGGAGGATGACTGTGAGGTGTGAACTAAAGGCACTGACAGATCACAGACCGACTGAGTGGATTAGACGTAGTTGTCCCAGCTCCACCTGGACTTCATCAGGACAACAGAAAATCTACATCAGTGAAAGATGTTCTTTTTTTTTTCTCCACATCTGTCTCTAATTCAGCAGCACTCTGGAATACCAGCCCAGGAATACCAGCTATTACAGAGTGGCCTTTAATGCACCATTTGGAGAGCCACAGTGGGGCGGGAGCCAGAACACTGACAGACTGACAGCAGAGAGGAGGTCCAGGGAGGAGGGGCCTGTGATGCTGTCGCCAAGAGAAACACGAGGAGCCGGGTTTTCATGTCTGACTAAAACCTCAGAAGAACAATGTGGAGCGGCCGATGGTCGGAGCTGCTGCCAACGCTGGCTGCTGGAAGAAGGGCTTCATTCAGTCTTTCTCTGTCGGGGGCCGCCCTGGGCCCCAGACCTAAAATTAAATTATAATTTACACAAAGAAAACACGTATTAAAAAGAGAAATTCACACTTATGTCATGTGAAACCTTCCTGCTTCAGTGAGAAGGAACCAGAACTGCAGAGTGGGTCACGGATCTCTAATAGGAACCAGACAGAAGCTGAGCTAACTGACCACCGGAGGCAGCAGTGGACTTCCCGGTGTGAACCCACCCTCGTGTAGACCCCACGGTCAGGAGCAGAAGAGTGACCTCCACCTCTGTGGATCATCATCTCAGGTTCTCCACCTTGTTTACAGACATCTTTGGGAAAAACGTTTTCAAACTCTGTAAACTCTAAAAAGTTGTAAACTCACAGGGAATTCTTAAAAGTGGGGGGGGTTTCATGATCACTTCAGCCAGTCTGAAGCAGCAGCTTCTGATTGGACAGTGGCCTGGTCCATCCTCATCAGTGATCGTCTCACAAACAAAATCAACTCTCTCTAAACCTCCACCTCCTCAAGATCAAACTTCTGTCTCTCCTCCGTCAACAAACCCGTTGATTTTGTGATTTTAGTTTCTTTGAACAAGTGCTTCACCAGAAAAAAAGAGTTCAAATGTTTTTGGTTTCTGACTTTTCCAGGCGTCCAGTCGTCTAGCTGATGAGAAAAGCTCCAAAGAAGCTGCTCTTCTCGTCCATGTCCACGGCAGAGGCGTTGGTCACCGTGACAAACAATCGATCGCCAGCGCTGAGAGGAAACAGCCCCCCCTGGTGGGCGGAGTGTAGAGAGAACTGGGAGCCCTGGGACCAGCAGGACGTTCGACTGGTTTTCATCAGCAGGATGGGAACAGGGTAGGAGCTGAGCTGTGGAGGAGGAGACGGGTGAGTGGAGGGGTGAGTCAGATGATGTGTGGGAGTGATATGATATCAACTAAACTAAAACAGCAGCTACAGTTAGCACTGTCACCAGCAGGGGTCACCAAGTCTTCCAGACTGGAGGCAGGTCTTACCTTCTTGTAGACGTACTGCAGCAGTGGTCTTCCTCTGTCCTGCTGCTCCCCTCCCTCCTCCTCCTCCAGGGAGTGGGTGTGTCTGAAGTACGTCTGAGCGTAGACATAGTAAAGACCGGGCTGTGGCACCACCAGCTCTCCGTCCACCAGCTGGACGTCCTGGAGAAACGCCAGTCCTTTCTGACCCTCCCACCATGAGATCTTCTGACCCTGGACCCGGCGACCAGCTGAGACCGGCCCTGGAGAGAAAAACAGTTGGTGTTAGAAAAAAAAAAAAAAGAACAACCCAAAAACAACCTGAAGAACTCACCTCCTCCTCCTCCTCGCTCTATTTGGGGCAGGAAGCTCCCAGTGACGTGTGCAGCCACTTTGGGGCGAGGTGAAGCCCTGTCCTCCATCACAAGTGAGGGCAGAACACGAGACACTTCATCTGACCCAGAGAAATGACCACAGGAGTTAAGACTGAGCAGGTGAAGACGGGCCTTGATTGATTATTGATCAGTTTCTCACCTCTGACCGCAGAGGAAATCTGCCTCTGGTACCGCTGAGACACCGACTGGAGGCAGAACAGACCCCCCCCCACAGTAATCAGTTAATCAGATTGTGGTGCGTTTAGATGACACGTGGTTTAATGTCAGGAGTCTTAACTTTATGACAGTGATGACCGAGGGTCAGGAGAATCAAGTCCTACATTTTTAAAATTTTTTTCTGCCTTTTGTTTCTGTCCGAGGTTTGACTTTGTTCCTGAGGTTCTGGGTGACACCGTAACCCACGATGCTTTGCTCGTCTTAGGTCACAGCTTCATGTCCAAGTTATGTAACCATAAATCTGGCCCTGAGAATCAAACCCCAAACCCTCAACAATGCCAGCCCCTCCCATTTTATATTTCCTTAAACCAATTACGTTGGTGCCGCCAGAACCAGGACCGGAGTTCTGTCCAACCTCAGAGAATTTAAAGCTGAGGTCAAAGTTTGTGTGTTGGTCAAATTTGTCGAGCTGCAGCTCTCAGTGGCGACCAGCAGGGGGCCAGAGGTTCGCTGTGAATCAGGACAGTGACAGAAAACAGAACATTTAGCTGAAAAAACTCCGGCCTAACCAAGAATCTGTGTGAAGTCTGGCGTCTGCTCAGTGTCGGGGCTTGGATCAAAGTGTTTCTGAAGACTTTGTTGTTCTTGGACAATGTGGTGGCGCTGTTTCTCATAAACAACAACAATGAATAACAAAGAAAGATATTACATATGCTGTCATAAATCTATCACGTATTTTCAACTTTCACAACATTTCCATGTAACTGTGGTCCCACTCATCTGTCTTCTCTTCACTGCTGTCACATTATCTCACACATGGTGTCAAACGACATCAGCTCCAGACAGAACAGTGGAGAAAATAGAGCAAAGAAAACGCGAAAGGTCGACCAAAGTATTAGGAGCAGAATAAGAAAAAATGTCAAGATGGAAAAAAACAAACATTAAAATATTGAAAACCTCCTGAACTTGAATTTTAATAAGATTAGGAAAAAATGCCTACATTTTCAAAGAGGTAAAAGTTTTAATACATGGAGGTTAAAGGATAACCAACTTCACTAAACATAAGCCAAAAAATAAAACACTGCCTCGAAACTCTAACAGAAATACCAAGAAATAATTTACAGTGGTGAGCGGTGAACATGGGAGGCCAACACCTGGATCAAACCGTCTGAGGCTAAAAACTAAAACCTACCCAGAAAAAACTCAAATCACCGCAGGGCTGAAGTAAATCCACAGAAAGTCTGGAGCTCGCTGTGATCCTGGGTCAGTTTATTCAAACTCCTCTGTCAAAGTTGGAATCTTTAAATCTTTTTTTTTTTTTTTATCAACAGGGAGAACGTACAGCTCAGTGAAGTGTTGTGTTGTCAAGGAAACAAAAGGAGGCGACGACAGTGAAGACGACAGCATCATTTGTTTTCCCATGTGAACAGAAAAGTGGAGCTGCTGAGTGAGAAAAGACAGAGCAGAAGGAGGAGGAGGAGGAGGAGGAAGAGGAAGAGAAGGAGGGTAACCTGGGAAAATAAACGATGGCAGCAACAACAGAGTGTGTGTGTGTGTGTGTGTGTGTGTGTGTGTGTGTGTGTGTGCGGAGGTGAATGCATTCCTGCACTGATTAAATGACCCAGGATCACCTCCCGTCATGAAGGAGCTCATTGTGTCTCCACTGACACTAATTTCAATCTCTTTCTTTCTTTTTCAGCTGAGACCAGAACAGAATTCCACTGCAGCTCAAACCAACGATGGTCCTGGAATTAGGAATTATGACGACAGAAAACTGATAGAATGTCCTGCCTGTAGGTCACACACAGAGTCTGTCTCTAAAAAGTTATGTTTCAGCTTAAATGTTATCTCAGTTAAAGCTAAAAAAAAAGCCATGAGCTAAAAGGTAGCCTAGAAGAAGCTAATGCTCCACTGACCAAACCAGACAAATAACCACACTCACCTGAGTTAGTGCTAAGAGTTAGCCAAAGCTATCACTAATATTCGATTCCTGGAAGCTCATAAAAGACAAACTGGATTTAGTTTGAAGTTCATGTCCTCCTCTGTGTGTGAGTCTGGAGATGAAGAAACGCCTTCAAACAACAATGTGATAATTATTATAATTCTATTCATTATAATCGTTATTTTCTTCATCACACAAAAGGTGCTACGTTTCCTCATACGCCCGTGTCCTCATTTCTTTTCTGTGGTGTCCTAAGGGGGGACCCAGAGCCGAGGTTGAGTCTGGAGAAAGATCTGCATCTGCTGTGGTAGAGAAGAAGAGGCGCAGACCAACAGTCTGATGGGTTTCTGAAGAGTCAGACTGTGGAGTTTCTTTTCTCCAGAAGTCTTTGCTCAGTTTTTACTTTCGCTCTCGTTCACCTGTTTATTTTTTTAACCACATCAAACCTGTTTTTGTGGTTTCTCTTTGTTTCTGCTCCAACATTAAAGGTCAAGTTCATGTTTTGAATGTAGAGTGTTAGGCAATGGGCGTGGCTAAATGATAGCTCGAAGGCTAGATAAGATTATTATAAAACAAAGCCGTGTCGTCTGCTGTAAGAGTTAGTGATAAGGAAGCAAATATTAGACACAACCCAGACTAAAGACAGTCACTGCATCTTTTGAACACAGGACGGTGTCAGAGAGGTCAGAGGTCAGAGGTCCTTACCTTCTCAATGAGCAGGTGAAGCTGCTGCGACACTTTCCAGCAGGGGTCTCCACGCACTGCTGTGAGGCTCTGCAGGTCAGCGCCGGTCAGACATGAAACGCTGCTCCGGGCAAACGTCTCCTTCATCTGCAGGGATCAGAGAGGTCAAAGGTCATCGTCCTGTGGAAGTCGCTCAGTGCTGACAGTCGTTCCCAACGTCATGGAGGTAAAAATTACTTCTTTTTTTTTTCTCCCATGTTTCCACAAAAACCAAATCAAAGGTTAAAAATTCAAACGTTGGCTCAGAACTGAACATAAACTCAAAGGAACTGAAGCTCCATGAAGATATTAAAACAGATAAACGTTACATATTTGATTATTGGCCAAAAAGTTAAAACCACCCTGGGAATCATCCAACTGCCTCTGAGACAGTTCACTCTGCTGTTGATGAAGTGTTTTTACAGGATGAATCATTAATCCAGGGACGGGGTGGGGGGGGGGGGGGAAGATAAAAAAACAAACATTAACTAGTACACAAGTACTACAGTACTACAGTACTTTAACACCTGCCTGTTGTACCTTGAATCTTTTCATATTTATCACCTGGTACATGGTGTTATCCATGGTGTAATCCTAGTCTGGGGTCCCTCCTGATCTGACCCCGATTTAAACCCAGTTCAACTCTTGTGAAACCTGATTTATCTCCAGGATGTATTCAAACTGTGTTCCTGACCTAGTTTGTCTGTCACTCACATCTCTGTCAGCAACAACAACAACAATCATCCTTACAACAACAACAACAACAACACCAACACCAGAACCAGAACAGCCTGAACTGTCAGTCAGCACGAAGTCTTG